AAGGAATTAGATGGTGTTTTTTTCATAGTAGTGAAGCAATAGGATTAAGACACTAGTGTCGTCACATACTACATTGATATTTTTACTTCCAAGTTTTGCTGTTCATAACATACTTGTTCGTTGGTGTTTTCAGGTTACCAGATTCATCAAACATAGAGGTGGGGATGGGTGCCATTGGCCCAGCTCAAATGACTTGATAGTTTTCATATCAACATTGGCTTCGGAAGGAGGAGGGCACTGGGGTGACCGCCCCCTCCCTTTCCCAGATTGTTTTTTGGATTTTTTTTCTTATATCAAATATTATATAATACCTTTGAAGTCAGTGGTTCATAGAATCTAGATCATAGGATCTAGAGGATCGATTACAGTACTCAATGATTCTCTGAGCTTCAGTCTGTCAATGCAGTCAGCATCAACATTTGTGAGACTCTCTTCTTTGTGTTGAGGATTGGGCATTGACAGTTTCACCAAGGTGCTGTAGATTGAGTTGAGGATCTGACTGCATATATGCATGCTGAGATTCCAGAGAAGTGTTCGACTGAATGAGTTGCCTATGATTCCAGATGGTCCATGGCCGTACCTCATATAGTACTTAACAAAAATATCAAAAAGGCCCTAATTAAGTTTTAATGTCCCGTTTAAGAACCCATATTCTAACTTTCTAAAATGAATTCTAGCAATATTACCCAACAGGAATCTACTTGTTGAGATTATTGAGTTCTTCTGAAAAATTGAGGATTTCAGTAAGGGTGCATTGACTTAACATGGGGACATACCTGATGGAATCCCCACACTAAGTCAATGGTCAATGGCGTTTTCCCCATGTTCAGTCAATGCACCCTTGCTAAAATTCTCATTTTCTCAAGAACAGTTGATCAAGTCTAAACAAGTAGATTCATGTGGGATAGTTTTGCTATACTGTACTCCGGGTAAATTTCAACGCTATAAAATTTCGCAATTTTTCAAAATTGCAATTTCGCGGCTGTTTAATTTTGCGGATTTGAGTTTCGCGAACTGCACAAGTTGAATTTTTTCCGATTACCGTAAATCAGTGCGTATCTGGCTATTTTAGCCCGTTCAGAATCCGAATAATGTTTGTATTTCCCACATTTAGGGCATTTATTTGAATATTCTTGAATGGCTTTTTCAACTTCAATTTGTAGGATATCATTGTTGTCAGCAGTTCTTGCCTTTGTTGGCCTAATAAGCCAATTCAAAATGTTAGACATTTTAGGCCTTTTTTGAATTATCACCAAACAACACTAGACGAAACGTTTTACACCGAACATAACATAACAAAAGTCCCGTTTCAAATCCCGGGGATTTAAAAGACAAATTTCACAATGATAAATGTTCGCGATTTTACAACATTCGCGAACAAAGCGAAATTAAATCGCACACGAACAATATCCGGAGTACAGTAATCCATTTTCAAAGGTAAGAATATGGGTTCTTGCTTTGCACAACATTTTGTTGGTACTATTAATAAGTGGTCTCTATCATCATATCTAACCAGATTCCATTCCATTACCAAATGGGATGACGGGTGACATGCTGTCCTTGGAGAAACTCAACAACAAATCTCTCCATGTCTCGTAGACAGAACAGTCCTTACTAGTTATATTGTCAGGCAGCAAAGAAATAGGGAAGCATAGATGGGTCAACAGCAGCCAAATGGAGCAGCCAGTTGGCATTTGTAGTTTTTCTTTCTGACGATTTAATGTTAAGAACATCTATGAGTTCCTCGAAGCTACCTGATGAATTACTTGCCTCGAAAGTTCTTCAACAAGTAGTCTCAATGCTTGAACATTGTTAGGGTAATTCTTGCCTGTTAATCTTGGTTTCCCCAGCAAATTGGGTATCTCTACTATTCAACTGTCTGACATTAGGATGCCGACACAACCAACAAAATTCATCAGCATGTACATGCCCCCGAGCCTGTTGATGAATGTATAATAAAGGTTGTTAGGGTCCAGAAAATGACATCAGTGGCTACTTTGTACAACTGCTGGTGCGTTCTCAAAATTGTGTAATCTTGTTTATATGTTTGGGTCAACTCCTATGCCTGATGCATGATGGTTAACATTGTGCTTGGGTCCACTGGCTTAAAATCAAGAAGTGGCTGTAGGCAAGTTTTATTGCAGGTTTAATGATGGCGCCACTTGTCCTAGCTAACCTCTAGTATTGTAGCCCCCGAATTATGGTGTCCCTGGTACAGATGTAACACTTCCAATAAATGGGCTAAAATTTAACCCTTATACAACAGGGATGACCTACTTACACTGTCAACAATCAGTTTCTTTCACATTTTAAACTTGTCATCAACCCCCCCCCCGCTCCCCCTATAAAAGGGTATAAATTATAAAATATAAAAAATATTTTAATTCAAAGAACCTATGTATCTTACATAAATAGCTTATTTTGATAGATAGACTCACAGAATCTGCTGATATTATATTTTTCAATGTTTCACAGTGATTACAGTGATATTTTTCATACATATTAATATTGCTGAATACAAGGAAGTCTATATTAATATATTTTTTTTCTCTTCAACTAAATAAAATTCAAGTCTCATATTTTCACACTATGTTTGACATGGGTCAATTTAAAGTCATGAATAATTTCAGATCACAATTTTGTTTAGTTTGCAAAATATGCTTATTAAACATAGTGACCCCTTAAAAATAGGTGACGCTAGGGTAAGAAATCAAGCATATCTCATTAAATTTGTGATTTTATGTAATGAAACATAGATGACATGTTGTTTAGACTAAATATAGTTTATCTGAATATGTTAAAGTTTTCAACTCTACCAACAGCCCTTTAAAAAAAATCTTTTGTGAAATGGGCATTTTACAAGGGGGCGCCACCTATACAATGCTGTAAAAAATTTTGCCCACCAGTGCCAGTCCGGCACAGTTCTGATTTTGAAAGTAATTAACTTACAGATAAAGAAAATACAAAGATATAGCATACATCCTAGAAGGCAACCAAAAGTTTCAATATGCCATTATTCCGCAGGACTACTTGGAAAAATGTAGGTTATATGTTTTGCATGCAGTTTTATTGTTCTGCCTTACCCCATCCAGTCTTGGGAAACCAAAGTGCTCCCAAACTGAGCTCTTGAGGTTTTTTGGAGCATTTTCTATCGTAAAAGTTTCGCTCGGTGCTGCCATTATAGAGAGCCTACGAAGTCAAACTTGAAATGAAACGAATTAAATATTTGAAACAAAGATAAAAGGTCGCGATGATTGAAATATTATTCATATACACTGCACAATTGATATGATAATATAGTTATTCTTCATCGAACGGGATTTTATCAGATCATCCACTACCGCTATATTTAATCAATAAATATTGATTGTTTTCGTTTGCTAAAGTTGTAGTTCTAGCGCATACTGACTCTTCAAATTTGGAGGAGAATCAATCGTAAGTTTTAAAATTTATTTTTGATTTTAGACAAAATCAGCTTATTTACGATCTAATTGGTGGAAAAATACTGAGCTTGAGGTGTCTTGTGCCGTTCCGAAAGTGCTTCCTCGTGTTCCAAGTTCCGATACCGAACCCAAATACCGCGGAACAGAACAATTTCGGGTAACCGTCCCACCCCTAATATACATCAGATAAACCTTTTTGCTGATAACATAGAGATCCATATGATATTTTTATACTGTTATAGAATATCAGAAATGTAAATGTATCCCATACATTTTTATAATGCCATCTGACCCCCTCCACTACCTGAAAAACACAAGTGCCTGATGCAAGACTAGCTATAATGGCTACTTCACACACATTCCCATAATATTTACAGCAGTTTAAATGGTTAATAAATGAACACTATGTAACTCAAAACTAAACTATTCTATTTAAGAAATGTCAAGGAGGTCACATTATAAAATGTAAAATAAATATCCAAAACCCAGATGAATTGAATAAGGATTCACTACAGAGGGATGTAGATAACTCTAAATTATACAGAAATGCAAAAGTAAGAAGCAGTTCATTCAAATCATAGAGAAATACGATGGAAAAACCATGACCTTCAAGACACTTTGAGAACAGGTATGTTGTTTATTTCAAATTCATAATAAGTAAAAATGTCATGCCATCTCTGTCATCAAAGATATATGGATAAGTATAACATAGAAATAAAGTGAAGTTTTCTTTCAGTGTTCAAAACTAGCATACATTTAATATAAAATATGTTTGTGAAGGAATTCAGTGTTTCAATAGCAATAATACTAAAAGGAAGACATTCTGACATGCAGTTTATGCCAGTGGCTCTGAGGTAGGGGCTTGGTTGGGGGTTATTCTAAAAATGGGCCTTTTTACTGTCAAATTTTTAAAAATACACCTAATTTAGTTGAAAATGGACCTTCTATGAAAAATAGACCTAGGTTTTAAAAAGATAGGGGTAAATTAAATTGGCAACCATGGGGAGAAATTTAAATTAAAAAAAATATTGTGACTCCCCTTGTTAATTTCCATTTCCATTTGTGAAAGAACCTAAATGGGAAAACAATAAAGTAGGAGATATAAAGTATAAATGTGAGATGATTTTTAAGGTCATGTGCATAATTATAAATGCAGATGAATATGGTTACCTTTTGCCGATTTATAAAGATTTTCTATCCTTGTCACTAAAAAATAAAATTTACGACATTAGTTGGTTACTGAAATTAAGATCCGGGTTTAAGCAATAACCTATCACAACCTTCACAAATCTCAACTATAAAAAACCAAACAACTATAAAAGTTAAGCAAACAATTAATCAAGCAAGCAATATCCAAATCTCCAGGGACTGTTTTTGGAACTATTGTAACCGTTTTCAGACAATGGTTTTCTTGGAAGCATAAGTTACAAATTGTTCCATCAAGGGAAAAGAAAAAATCTCCTGGAGAAATGTTATCAAGAGAATTTAAGTTACATTCTGAAAAAACAAACAAGCAAACAGAAATCAAATCAAGACTAATTCAATGCTTTCCCCTACCTTTTATGGTTGGTTTATTTATTGGGCTTGATCCAACGCCTGAATCAGGTCGACTTCGAGATCCAGGACTGGGGGTGCTTCCTAAATGTGGGCTCATCCCAGAGTTTGGGCTGCCTCCTCGCTGGGGGCTAGACTCATGCAAACTTGTATCCATTTTAACAGATGTGGAGCTATGTATTGTAGTAGTAGTCGTTGTTGTGACTATATTTGAAGAATCCTCTGTTGTTTTTGTTTCATTTGTCTCTTGTTTAACTATATGTACTACATCAATATTGTTGGTGTCCTCTGTAGGTGCCAAATCAGAGGGTGCTTCAAGGAGTCCCACATCAGATGGTGCTACCTCCATAGGTGACCCTGGAAATAGGAATGTAAACATTTAAGATGCTTTATAATCAAAATCAGTGGTCTTCTACATGGACACCACATCTCCACAAGGAAGTGAAGTAAATGGGATGTCGGAGGGAGGGGGGTATGTTCCAGAGACTTGATGCAATATAGAAAATCATAAGCCTTCAGTAAATTCCATTAAAAATATCCCCTATATCAAAGATCCAATTATTTTCTTTCAAAATAATAAAGTATTGAGCAAGGAAATATGTATTGCAGAAATAAAAAACACCTCAAATCGATCAACCTGAGCCAAACTTACAATCATTTATATTCCACTCTGCCACTTGCTACAGACTGCATCATATTAGTACAGTATAGAATTTACATAATATTGCCACCATATGGCAAATGTTATATAAAATACCCCATGGGGATGTCCATACGCCACAAAATGCTATCATTAATTCAAATTAATATAAAACAAACAAAAAAAATTTACTTCATTAAAAGTGAGCATCATTATTACTTATTAGTCTTAGGCTATATACATTAGTATTCTTAATATGAAAAGAATTACAAAAAAATTGGATTGTTTTAATGTAAATCATGTCTGATATTGGTTCATAATCATAAGAATGTAGTGTGCATATACAGGCCCGTAGCCAGAATTTACCTGGGAGGGGGGGGGGGGGCAGTTTTTACCGACCACTCCCTCCGCTCCCCCCCCCTGGCTACAGGCCTGAATAATGTATGCATATAAACTTACATCTAGTATACATATCTGATCAAGTATAAGGAAAATACAGTTTGCATATATCATGTAATATAACCAAGATCTAACAAGTTACCTTGACCCTTATACACATTCTCTATTGGAAATCTTCGGCATAATTAGACTGGAATCAGGATGGTAAGAGCAATGGAAAACTACTGTATTGCTCTTAACAAAAGTACTTTCTAATTTTATCTACGATCGACTGAACTTAACTCAGATAACTGCTCTTCCTCATTTTGAACATTAGGAATATTTTCATAACATTAGTTATAAGCATTTAGTTTAATAATATTAGAATTAGTAATATTAATATTTAATAGTGTCTATTAAGGAGGGAGGGTTGGCTGGAGAGGCCTAATGTTACATTTGAGATGATTAAGATTGTTTCATTATCAACAAAAAAAGTGAATTAATTTGAAATGGTGCAACCTATTGTTGATTTATGGCCTATAGAAAAAATGATGAACATGATCAATGTACCTTAAATGTTAATTTTCTAAATAAAATATATTAGACAAAAACAGTATCCAACAATCTACCTTGGAAGAATCTGAACAAGTGATTGTTCCTAAACATGCAGAAAGATGAAAGAAGGTGAATACTGGCTATAATGTCTATTATATGAGCAGATCAATACATTTAGCCACATCATATCCATTTCACTTACCATCATCTAAACTGTTATAATCCATAGCTAAGCCTGTATAATCCCTTTTGCTAATGTATCATCATATATCCTATATAACACACATATGTGAGCTATTTCATGTAATAGTATGGTATTGTCTCAGTGCAGCTTTTTTCTATATAACAGTTAAGCGTCCACACATGTACATATACATGTTAAAACTAGTGTGATTCTATATGAAGCTTAAGTCTATCATAATCAAATCATTTACATGCTACTTGGTCCCAGTATGAGATATGCATAACACCTTTATCCTATGATATGTATTACATCATCACAACATTGAGATCAATCTGGTCTTAATATTGTTTGTCAATAGAGCCATGATGTAGAGTAAAGCCATAATGTTAATCCTATGCAGCTACTGTCTGTATTGAACCAGTCCTATCATCATAGATCAGGTACACCTTGCAATGTTCTATGTGAAATATCAGTGCTGAGTATACGAGGGGTGATCAATAAGTAATGGACGCTTTTTTACACAGATACTTTTTATTGACCAATCGCTTTGATTTTCCTACCAGTGATACATCATTCAATTATCTATCAATTCTGAAAATTTGAAGACAAAATAGTTAATACATGTTGATATATCCTCATTTCCATGAAGGAGGTACAGGTACCCCGGGACCGACATTTACGTCACATATTCCGTTTTTAGCCAGTTTGGTAAATTTGAGTTAGATTTGAACTTTTTATATGCAACAAGTGTTGTATTGTTTGAAATTTTTTGCTGACTGGTAACACATAAACAGAAACTATTGTAATATCAGAGTGTTGTATGGAAGGGGTTTGCAGGTCAATTTGAGAAAGCATTGTGGAAGAAAGGGGTGGTGAGAGAAGGGAACACCCTACTCCATATGGACAATGCACCTGCCCACAGATCTCAAAATGTTCAAAAAACAATATCCCTGGACCTCAAAATTGAGCCCTTAGCCAATGCACTATATTGTCCACATCTGCTCACATGTGACTTGTTTATTTCTATACTGCTTATTTCTGAGAAAGGACGCAGGTTTATTAACATTGATTAAATAAAACAACCCGTGCAACTGCAACTTACTACCATGTGAGAGAATGGATTCAGCCTTGTCTCACAATCTTGAGTTAAGAGGATGAGGAATTGTGTACATGTAGCACTTGATGGAACTTATTTAGAGGGCCCTGTGGAATGAATGTGGCATGAATACCACAAAGTGATGATAAAATATTCAAAATCAACTATGTCATAACAAAATGGGGTAATTCATGACCATAATGGTTTGTTTTATTCAGCCTGCATTCGACTGCATTGCATGTTAAACAAGCTAAAATAGCTTCAGAATATGTGACGTAAATGTCGGTCCAGGGGGACCTGTACCTCCTTCACGGAAATGAGGATATATCAAAATGTATTTTTATATTTTGTCTTCAAATCTTCAGAGTTGATAGATAATTGAATGATATATGACTGGTAAGAAAATCGAAGTGATTGGTCTATAAAAAGCATCTGTGTAAAAAGCATCCATTACTTATTGATCACCCCTCGTACATGCACATTCATACTGTTCTTTTTCATTAAGGTAAGATATGAATATTATGAGGAGCACTTATATGTATAGTCCATTACATAAAATCTAAAATGAATCGAATATTTGAAAAATGCAAATTAAGTGAATATGAATGAATATTAAGAAGATATAAAGATAATAGAAGCGCTATTAACCCTTAAAACTAAAATAAAAAAATAAAATACTAAAAAGATTTAGAGAGAAATAGGGCTTAATAAGCTAGAGATGATGAAGAATTGAAGCCTGGCTGAATTGCAAGTAGAGTTTAACACTAAGTGCTGTCTAGTGATACACTATCAGTATCTGCCATATATATTACAATCATATTCTATTCTTAGAGATTTAATTGTTGAACATGTTAAATACGGTATATGTTGAAGAAAGGTCAATAACAGTTGGAGACAAAACATCAAAAATACAAATGATTACCTTGAACTTTAAAAAAGCCCTGCGCCTTGCAGATGAAGCTCGCTTTTAAACAAGCAAAATCAAACTACAGATTGGAAATGGTAATAAATGATTAAAACATTTTTTTGTATAATACAAACAACCGAAATATATTAAAACATAACCAACCAAATTTTCTTATTCAACATAAAATATATACTCATTTACCAGTTTGATTTTCAATCAATGAAAACTTCATACCGTGGTAATCCAAGATGCATAACATAACAAATACGCAAAAACAGCAACTTACGTGCTAAGTGGAAATCAATTGCATAATACAGCCGTACTTAACCGTGCGCTGTGAATTCCTCCCAAGGGTGAAGCATTAAATCACTCTCTGGATCAATATCAGGAATATCACATCTCATACCTTTAAACCGCAACCTTACATGATCGCCATCACGTCAAGGTAATTGATTTCACAGAAACCACGGATATAATCACAAGAGTACCATAATATTTATGAAGTACAATTGCTATAGGAATGGAAATATAACATTCCATCATGGCAAAATATACCTTGAAATATATATATTAAAACCTGTCCAAGTGTCACACACCTTTGGTAACTCTAAAAAGTATCCTACTTAGGAGGTGTTCTACTAATAGATGTTCATTTAACACTAAGTCAGTTGAACTTGGGAAAAGTGTTCCACTAACAGAGCTGTTCCACTTCTAGAGGTGTTCTTCTTCACAGGTCTCAATGCATTATTAGTACTTTTATAGATGATATTCAGTGCAAAAGTGGAAACAATGAACAATATAGCAAGCGATAAATGAGGCTTTGCATTGATTTCTTCCTTTAATAATATAATTCATTGCTTGTTGAATAGTTGAAGATGTTCTGAGAGGTCAATTAGTTCAAATAAATGAGTTGTTGAAAAAATCAATGTGGTGATGTTTTTCGTTTTGTATGAAATGTGCCACACGGGATACTAGAGTATCCGCGTATATTGAGTATGACCGGTTCTAAGCTTACGAGTGTGACCGTATTTCTGTTCCTATAAACAGACGAGGTGAGTACTTGCTTTTTATGAACACTTTCGAACGTTTTCTTTTTATCCTACTTGGTCAATGTATGATACTTGGTATACTTATAATGCCAGGCATATCACAAGGGGCCTTAATCAACAGAAAACGTATTAATATTAGATTGAAGCCGTAAAATCCTAGTTTCCAGCATCTTTGATCAGTTTTTGTATAACACAACGCAACTCCGAAGAGGATGACACATCTTATGTATAACATATAGCTAGATCTACGAATAAGTCATGAATATTTTAAATAATTTAGCCTGCTCTGTCCAAATATGATACATCTTTGAATTTTTGAGAATACGAATGTCACTGGTGCCCCATTATTGGAGAATACGGTTGTGGAATGTCTTGGATGCCATG